CAATCTGTGCTGATATGATGTCCGGTGCACTGGCTGTTATTGGATTTACTTGGGTATGCATCAAATTAGGATGAATCACATTTGTCTAATAAGCAATTAATTGTTTTCAAATTGCAAACAAATAATATTGTAGCTTTATTAAAGCATTCAAACTTGATTAACAAAAAACACATAACTTGCATCCAATTTATCAATCAATGAATTGATTTAATATTCAGATCGCGAGTCCTGCCTGTACTGAGTTGGAGATGCAAATGATGGACTGGTTGGCAAAAATGCTTCATTTACCCCAACATTTCCTCTTTAGCAGCGGTGGAAAGGGAGGCGGAGTAATACAGGGGACGGCAAGTGAGGCCACATTTGTTGCACTTCTCGGTGCAAGAAGTAAAACATTGGCTCAAAACGACAATAACAAGCAATTACTGACTAAATTAGTGGCCTATGCCTCGGATCAGTCACATTCCAGTGTTGAAAGGGCTGGGCTTTTAGGTGCCGTTCAGATGAAACTATTGCCGTCGGATGAAAGTTTGAGTTTAAGAGGAGATGTTTTGAGGGAACAGATTAAGAAAGACAGGGCTAACGGGTTGATACCATTCTTCGTTGTGGCCACACTCGGCACCACTAATACGTGTGCTTTCGATAATTTAGTAGAAGTGGGCACAGTTTGTACGTGTCATACAATTTGTTGTTTGCATAATAAGTGAATCACAATTATTTTGATCACTATTTGTGTGTTTGTGTCAAACAACAGGTGAAGAGGAGAATCTATGGCTACATATCGATGCGGCGTTTGCCGGATCAGCTTTCATTTGTCCTGAATTTAGGCATCATTTAAATGGAGTGGAAGTAAGACTTTGATATCACTTATTATAAGTTGTGATGAAATTGTAATTTGTCTGACAGTATGCCTCATCATTCAATATGAATCCACACAAATGGCTTCTAATAAACTTCGACTGTTCCACACTTTGGTCTGTATTTGTCTTTTTCTAAGGATTTTCTTAAACTTTGTTCAACTTTGTTAAATGAATTGCTAAATATTTATTTAAGAATTTACTGTACTTATACTATATTTACAGTATAATGACTCAAAAATACAATTAATTTCATATTAGCTATGAATGAGTTTGACATTCAATAATAATTATTTATTAATATAATTTATTAATAGAAACGAAAGTAATGACAAAATTTATGCTTAAATTCACAATAATTCGTTCGGAAAGTTATGTTAGACTTGGCTTACAGTATGGCAACGATAGTCATAATCTGTGATATAAATAATATAAGATTTCTTTGAATTAAATTCAATGTCAGTCTAATAATGAAAAAATTAAATTTCTTTTAAAATTCAATTCAAAATCACAATCATTTGGCACAACGTGTAAACGTGTCGATAAAAAATACTTTTAACTCAAATGAATTAATTTTTTCATTTTCTTCCTTTCCTAAGGATAAAAAATACTGAATATATTGTGGACGCGTTTAATGTAAATCCCGTATATTTGAGACATGATAACCAGGGACAAATACCTGATTACAGGGTTAGTCACTTTAATAATATATATTATAACTGTTTAATAGAC